TACCTCACACCAGGACAGCCCAGCTTTCAGGCCTGGGCACTATCACCTCCCAACTCCTGCCTATCTTTTGGCCACAGCAGCATGACAGAGCATAAACTACTCATGTGGGGTTTTGATTAACTTTCTACCAGGTGTTTTAAGTGAGATAACACCTAATGCAGTGCTGAGTCTAACACAACAGAGCTTTCAGAGAAGTTTCAATGAGTTTAAATCAGCACATCTTGCAGAGGTTCAGGGTTACTGCTCTGATCATCACAGGATTTTAATTATTTCAGGTTTTTTTTAAATCTGACGGCTACATCTCAAACATAAGGTTTATTATTTTGTGAATGTATGACCTATATAGCAGAGTATGAACCAACCACCTTCAGTCTAACCTTTCAGGAGTGCACTCTACTCAACAACCAACTCTAACCAAGGTATATTTTTCAAAACCAAGTAGGAAACCCACTAGAATTATAAATTCCAAGGTAGAGTTTGTAACACTAACAAAGTCAACATTCTTCATTCCAGCCTTAGTGCAAGGTAAGGACCATTTCAGGTGGAAGATAAGAAGTTCTGTACCTACAACAACCACCTGAAGACAAACAATAATGAGAAAACCCAAACTATGTTGAGTACTGGGTAAAGCAAGTCTGTGGTCACAATTCAATCCTAAAGTAAACGAGTCCTGAGGGAGCAGACAGTACAAACAGGCTTTCTTATGTTAAAAAAAGGGGAAGTTTCAAAGTTTGGTTACTGCTGACTGGCAGATTACTCATATCCATACAGCCATTAGCCCGTGAGAATACCATGAGTTAAAAATAAGCCTAAACACCGTAACATCCAAAAATCACAACCAAAGAGGCAAATTTTCCAAAAATACGAAGAAACACTTCCACAAAAAGGTTAACAAGTATTTTAAGTACTAAGCCCTCCTTTTCAAAGGTTCTCTGACCACAAGCATCAAACAGCTGTAGCATTCATTCTGCAAAACAACCACCATCAGAAGCACTATCCTGTTACAACCACAGATTAAACTTGGGCAAAGGAAATATTAAGCTCACTTCTCAAACAGAACAGAAGCAGATTCAGGATGAGTTCCTGAATTTCCATTTCCTAAAATAAGAAATAAAATCTAACTTTATCACTGGACTATCCCACAGACGGTGTGAAACACAGCACAGCTAAATACAAAAGACAAACCTCCAGTTACACCTAATGCCAAAACACTGAAGGAGTCAAGGAAACAGGATAACCAAACACAAACACTGAGAAGAGACACAAACCCTCTGGGCTTAGAGAAGATGGGTTTTTAAATCTTTTACAATCTTGTTTTCACCATTCCAACTCAACTCATCAATTAACCACAAGTTGATACAGGATCCACCTTGCAAATGCTATGCACACATTCTCTGCAGAGCAGCTTTGTCACCTACACCACAAACCAACCCCTGTGATTCTCAGCAGAGAGAACTGAGCACTGCAGGAGTGCAGCATTTTACAGTGTGAAGCATTCCAACACAAAATCCCAACTCCTTCAGTAAAGCCAAGTGGAAGGGGTAGGTGCCATGCAATCTATAGAGAAACTGGGGTTAGTGTGCTGCACTGGGATTACTGCCATGCACAAGGGACTGCAAAGAGGCTGCAGCAGGAGAAAGCATTACAAAGTTCTTGTATCCACAAATGAACTTTGAAGCAGAGCATGAAAGACTAAATGACTTAGCAGGTTCAAAAACTCCATCTTGGTTTTTCCAAACTGCTGTTTTTCCAGGAAGCTTAATTTAAATGGGATGGTGTCCCTAAACATTCAAAATTAACCCCTCACGTATTGAAAGATGGGACTTTTAATCCTGCCAGAACCTGGATTTTCAAATCTGCCTCATCCCACTGTACATTTGTACCTAGCATTTGCTATCAAGAACTTTTTCTGTTATTAATTATTTTGTGCTATTTTGGCCAAAATTGAAGTTTGATGAAATGTGCTGACCTTGATGATCTATCTATCTAGCAGGTCTCGTACATCCATGCAAATTATGTATTAGCAAGGAACAACAAAATGTTTTTCAAAGCAACCTAACAAGTGGGTTTTCAAGAGAAAACAACTAAATTCAGCAAAAAAATTCTGAATATAACATGGAATGTAGATTTGTGTTTTAAAATAGGAGCTGGATGCAAGAAGTTGCATCAAAAAAAAATGTTGGATGTGATGTTACTTCAAAAAACACACTGAAAGAGACGGAGACTGTTAGGTTTAGGTCAAGCGAATTATTACAAATTTTTAAACCTGGAAGTGGAACTGCTGGTCCAAGGATGTATTTGGACCAAGACCACATATCCAGTTCAACTACCAGCCTATGGAAATGCTGGTGTGTGGGTATCTTGTTCCTGCAGGAATCTACTGCCAAATTCTGCCTTCTGCTGACTCATGCCCTGTGTTTTGCCAATTTCTACCAAGGAAATGCAGCACTGCCATTTCAATGCTGCATTTTGGCCAGCTCTGATAAGCAGCTTCAGGGATCTGAAGTCAGAACAGACTATCCAAAAAACTGAGTCATGAGCATATTTAGTGTTAAAAATTTTCATTACAGAATCCTGATGTGACCTGTTTGTGTGTAACACTGTGAGAAGGAGAAGGCAAGAAAATAAGCATGTGGGTACAGATCTGCCACCCTGTGTTCTTAACCTGAGCAAGGTAATTTAAATGTTAAAGAAGATGACTTGGAATAAAACTAAAGGCGAAGTTTGGCACTTTATATAAAAACTTATGGGTATCCAGAGGAAGGCATTCAAACTCAACTCCAGATTGTCCTAATTTTATTTGAATTGGTTAATCAATTTTAAAGCACTTTTTACAATTTACATAATTTAAAGGAGCACACTGCATCCTATAAATATAAATTAACAATTTTAATAACTCAAGACATCACAACAAAGCCAAATTTTGAAATAAATGTCATGTTTAGTTATCTGGATCAAGAAGTAACATACATGGGGAGGGAAAAAACAGCATTAACAAGAAAACACTGTTTAGTTCTAAACTAAGTTTAGTTCTAAGTTTGTGCTTCTACATCAAAAACACAACACTGAAGTGACAGGAACTCTGGAAAGAACTTGAAAAGGTATATAACTACTTTAGTCCCAAAACCAAAGTATATATTTGTATTTTCTTCTACATGTTGGTTTTTTTTCAGTTCTATCAAATTAGCATTAATGGTAGAATGGTAGAGGGACAAAAGCACAATATACTAACTTTACTGCAAATACAAATTCTGTTGTAACAGTTTGTTAGCTTGGTTTGGCTTAAGTTGAAATGGTTTTCCTGCATGAAAAACAAGAGCATCTCTTTTCAATGTATTTAATAATCAACACATTTGTTAGTACAAAGCAGATGGTGTTCAGCAAGAAGGCATTAGGTGACCATTTGAAAACACCATGCTTTTTTTTTTTTTTTTTTTTTTTTTATATACAATAGTTTTTTTTTTAATTTATTTTTGCCCTATAACTGACATTTATGTATTTTACAATGTTTTGTTAACCACTAAGACACTCTTCAGAGTTTTGTGAAGGCCAGATGTTCAAAGCTGGTACACAGATGAAAACTGCAGATCCATGATCTATGCATGGAACAATCCAGAACCTGGCAGGTGTTAACACACACCATTAGTTACTTGCATGCTTTCTCTGTGACACACCAAAACCAAATCATCTTTCACTAAGCTTTGAAAATCTGGTCTTAGCTACAAATGAACACATTACTTCATTAATTTAACAAAGGGCATTAATCCATCTTTTGATTTTTGGTTGAGAATTAAAAATAAGAGTGAGATATCATAATCCTAATAATTTTGTCCGAATCTTCAAAGCAATTATTTATTCTTAAAAGCAAAAAAAAAAAATCTCATAATTCTTAAGTCTTTTTGTAATTATTAAATGTTAAATAAATAAATTTATCAAATGTATATTTATATTTACTACAGATTATTTTTTGAAGCAAATCTCAGAACAACTTTAGAAAACTTTTTAAAATAGAGTTACTTTAGGCCTAGACTTAAAATAATTACATATTAGGGCAAAAGATGGAGTTAAGAGAGTCAGTCTCTGAATGCTTCTTAAAAACAGGTGCTTCAAATACAGATTTAGAAATTAAATTAAAAATCATGTTTTCAGTCACACTGAAGAAAACATCTGCGAAGAAAAAAGGCCCTCATCCTTAAGATTGAAGAAAAAGATAAGGGGAGGAAAAAAAAAAAAAAGCACCGTTTTCCCAAGTTGCCCAAATCACACACAGACACAGGAAAGTTACAAATGCCATTCATGAAAGAATGCACCACAAACATCAGCATTTATTCATTTTGAATTTTTTTAGCAAATGACAAAAGACTCAGCTCACTGGCTTCACTTTTGTTTACCTTTTGCTTACATTACACATTTAAACATTTGTCAAAACTTTACTAAAGTTGTCTGCATTCATGCACAACTAGAAAACATCCTTAATTTATTTAAACCAGAAATGCATTACCAGAAATGTATTAACATTGTTCACTACTAAACATTAAAAAAAAAAAAAAGTTGAAATTATTAAAAAGGTTATCCTGGAACTGTTAACTTCACAGCAGACTTGAACTACCAATTGGCTCACATTTCATATTGGAAAAAGCAAGATTCATGCTAGTGTTAGTGTACATCTTACCCTAGCACTACTGAAGGATCATGGTTCACCTTGATCACAGATAAGAAAAGAAAAGTGCATACAGAAGTTTACAACAATTTTAAGGACAAAAAATGGTCCAATTGATGTGGTCCCAACAATTAACTCAAAAGTCTATGACAAATATGAGCTTCTGTGAGCTACTTATACTACTTAAGATTGAGTACGGATATACAGAAAGTTGAATTCATTTGAAATCTTCAAAAAAATGTTCCTGTCAATCCTCAAATGGTGGCTGTTAGAGCTTAAAATTTCTGTTAAATGCGTGCGTTGAATTACTTGTTATCCAAGCGTAGCAGCTGCTCCTTACCATTTATTGTTAGCGACCTTAACTGGCCATCTTCTTCAACTTCTACTCTCTCTTGTCCATTCTCAACAATCCTGCAGACAAAAACACCACGAGCCATTTTAGAGCACTGTAGGCAGTTTTAAACACACACCAGGCCTTGGGTTTAGATAACAAACTGTAAGGGAGCACCACCTGCTTAATGCAACTGTACTTGGCAAGCTTTGGTATTTACCAGCACCAGAGCTGTCAGGAGTACCCATGTGCATTTCCCCACTGCTTAGTCAGGAAAATTGCCTTCTGGAAGTTGGAATCCTCCACGATGTAGAGTTCACAGTTACAGCTGCCACCTCATACATTGTCACAGTTTTGCTCACACTACACACTGTTACCTAGGCCTTAAAGCCTTGACAGATCAACTGCACGATCCTGACACTGCATTTAGTCCCTACATGTTTGTTAAATGATATTCTAGATCTAATCACAATTTTGTACACAAGACAGTCTTAAACCCACTTTTAATTTGATCAGAGCTAGCAATTTGTAGACCTACTATACACCAACTTTATAACCAGTATGCATGTTACAAAATTCAAGTATCTCTGATTGAAAAGAGAGATTATTAAAGAGCTTTTGAGTTTTCAGATTTTTCTGGAATACACTCATAGAAAAATATCATGACCACACCAGCAGGTGATCCAGAGGCTGTTATTAAGTGGTCAAGATGGACAGGAGATCTCCAGCACCACAGTTCAGAGAAGAACCTTGCACTTACAAGTATGGGACCCAAGTTAACAAACAAAAACAATTAATCCTCCCTCACTATTCTGTAATTTTCTATTAAGTAGTGAAATTACACTTAACTACTTTTTCAGTACTCCTGTATTGATTTCAGTATTCCATGTAGGTTATTCTATAGCTAAGACTTGGGTTTCCCAAATGCAATGATTTCCCTTTCACAAACATGAAATGGACAGAAAGTACACTGTGTACAAGACTTAAAAATTCACTTTCCAACAAACAGGTACATTTTTCTCCAAAGCAGGCTTCAGTTGCTTATTTCATTTAACAGACAGAAAAAAGTTACTCAAGAGACTTCACTCAAACACTGCCTAGGAAAGCACACTAAGCAGATGCTAGGTAAACATCTTTCATAACATCTGCAAAACTAAAATTCTTCCCAATTCCCAGTTATAAGCTTCATAATCACTAGACACCAAGCACACTTTTCTTCCAGAAGTTCAAGCTGACTGGGCAGACAGCAGTCAAGGACCATAATAAAAGGTTAAGCACTACACAGGAGGCTCTGAAGCCTAAAAGAGCTCCAGCTACAGCATTAAGTAACTCAACAATGCCAAGAAGAGACAGAGAAACCAAAAAAGTATTTCAAAATGCTTTTAAGCATTCAGAGAAATCAAGTAATATGATGAACAAAATAACAGAAGTAAAACATAAAAACATGTATCACTGCATGTGTGTATGCAAAGATACAGTATATTTATAACCATGTAACTATAGGTACGGTTAGTCTCTACGTATAGTTTCATATAAATATATTTATATCACTCACCTCTTTGTAGTAATTTTTCTGCCATTAACTATTTTAGTTGAGGTTGATACGGATTTGAAGTTTCCCATTCCACTGCCACCAAATGACGTAGAGGAGAATGACGAAGTAATGCCTCCATGTCCCAGGGAGCCAAATGAAGGAAAACCTATTGAAAAATAAGGCCTTTGAATAAAATGTAATTTTTCATGACTGTGGGATCCAAATTTATCATCCATTCTGACTACCTCCTACTTTCAGGAAGCCCTCTGCTGGTTTCATCACACAGCATCAGTGACTAGATGGCATTAACACCAGCCTGAGAACAAAACCACAGCTCCAGCCCCATCCATTTCTCTCATATGGACCCACAGTTCAATGTCCAAAAACCATTTGTCAGCTCCTCCCCTGAAAGGCATTCAACCTTTACCCACACTCTGCCCTCAGGGGAAAGCCAGCAACTCTAATGAATCTGATCACAGCTGTAGTGCAGATGTTGGGACAACCCGAGCTGGCAGACAGAACAAGTCCTGCATCAGTAACATCCCAACCCATGCCCAGATTCCCAGCACCCTAAGCACTACCATGGGGTTTAGGCACATGTTTTTCAGGATCTGTAATAAAAGCCATCACACCCCTGAAAGCAAACAGAACAAAAGAATTCTAAAGCCATGAAAAAACTGTAGCACCAAAATAAGGAAACAGGAAGTTCTACTTCTTAGAGATCTGTTCACTATATATGAACTTTCAGATAGCCCAAATACTTAATTTACACTTAACATCTTACAGACAGCAGCTTAATTAAAAAAAAAAAAAAAAAAAAAAAAAAAAAAAAAAAAAAAAAAAAAAAAAAAAAAAAAAAAAAAAAAAAAAAAAAAAAAAGAGTCCCAGAATTGCCTGAATGGAGAAGCCAGCTTATTATACTGCAATCCTTTATAAGCCAAAATCACATTCTTTCTTAAATGTAATGATATTTACCTGTGTCAAATGGAGAGAAACCACTTCCAAAAGCAGGGAATCCACCAAAGGCAGAGAAAAATGATCCACCACCACCTCTGTTTCTGCTTCCCCTTGGACCCCGCCTGCCACCGAAGAAGTCCTCAAAAGGGTCTTCTACAAAACAGAAGACAACATTTAAGAGATAAATATTACTGAGTGATTCTGTATTTAATAATTAGGGATTATTCATTTTAAAAAGAAATTTCTTGTTAACAGGTAAGATTCTTCCTTTGAAATAATTGAGGCTACTGAAGTAAGACTCCCTCAAAGGTAATTGCTATGCTCCTTCTGTTTTAAATTCTGCTTGCTTCTGAAGCTAAAGTTAATTTTATATATATAAAGTAGTTGATTTCATTATTTTACCTATTTAGCATTAAAAACTAGTACACCTAATGGAAAATATTGCATACAGGTACCTGAACTTTCCAGCTTATTTCTATTCAAGATTTATTGTGGATCACCATGATCTGAAAAGTAACTTCCAGATAGGTTGTATTAATTATTGAAATCTAAAAAAAGCAGCCAGGGATTGATGACTCATAATCCTAAAGTGTTCCAAGTGTTTTAATTTAGCACTTGCCACATCAGATACTCCAAACACGTATTCTGATGCACATTTAGCAGCAAACTATGGACGTTTACACACAGTGTCCCAAAGAGGCATTTGGTCTGTACTAAGCAGGGGAGAAAGGGGGTCATGGATAAAATGTTATTTCAAATTCAAGTTCCATTCTTATGTCATTCAGCTATTGTTCCATCCCCACCAGGAAGACAATAGTCTTTCCAAAAAGGAAAAAAAAAGATGGGGGAAGTGTCAGGCCATGGGGTACAACACCAGCACCTATACAAGCAGTCTTTATTTACTAGAATTATCAGAAAACTGCTTTTCTCTAAAACCTCTCGAGACAAAGAACAACAAAAAAAAAATTGCTATCATGAACCAGAAAGTCAATAAACATAATACTTACATTAAAACCAGAAAAGTTTAGGAACTACAACTACTCTCTTCATCAATCACAACTCTCCCAAAATGAGTGCTGCTGAGAACACCAATGATTTTACCAAGTTTTTCACATAGAAACTCAGTACTGAAAACTCAGAATAAGCTTTTAATGAAAAATGCAGAACCCTGTGACAGCAGCAATAGAGGTATGAAAGCAAGGAAAAGACTTGTGACTGCCTGACTGTTCAGAACTACAACTGACAAAGAGAAGGTCAGAAATGAAGTATTTGTTCCACTTCTGGTACATCCACAAAAATCCAAGCTGATTTATGATAAATCACCAAGTTAATACAATATACATGATGCATCATTAAGTAATCAATATGATAATAAAAATATGTAAGCTACCATCTGTTTTATGTGCAAATACTTAAATGTGATACATCACAATATATTTACGCTGAACAAGAGCAGCTCCTAAAAAATATCCCTATCCCTCTCCCAAACTCCAGTTATTGAGTAAAACAACAGAAGACTAAACTTTTCTCTTACATACACTGGCAAGCAAGTGGTTAAGATTTTTTTCTACCTTGGACACTTTTTGTTTTGTAGCTTCTTTTCTTTTCCATGTAAAGCAAGCTTTCCTCAATATAAAGATGACCTATTAGTATCTTTACATAAGTTAACCAACACTTAGCATGGAAATATGGGCATTATTATAATTTCCAAAACAAGCTCTATGTCAATTTTTAAAATAGACCAGTTTTGTCAGTCTAGCATATCAATCAGCAAGTACCACAGCAGTTAATTGTTTTGTAGTCCAATTTATTCTCACAGGAATGACTCATAGGTTAGTTATGAAGGTCATTCACTCACGTGTACAAATGATCTATATACTGTATTACTCGCACTGTTAAGCTTTCTATTTATAATCCAAATTTTCTCGTTACCTGGTGTTTGAATAAAAACAAAACAACCTATCATGTAAACTGAGTTTTTAATCTCCCACAGTGTGCCAGCCTATTCTGCAAGTGAATCCTCTCCTCCCCAACACAACAGCTGCAGAAACAAAGTTATTTAAGGGAAGATCATGGACTCTCGTAGAGATCCCTGATATCAATCCAGCTTCTCAGTGGATTATTGCCACACCAAAGCCCAGCCAAGACTTGGCCATGCCTTATCAGCCTGCACAGCAAAGGAAGAGGTCAGCACTTGGTATCAGCACGTGTTCAAACGTCAGGTGATTGCTGCCAGCAGCCCTGGGAACAATTCTCCAGTGCTCTTCCTGCAATTCTCTCAAGTAAGACAGAGCAGCCACTCTTCTGCAGTGCACTGCAGAATGCTCAGCAAGATGGATTATCCTGAGACAGCAAAAGGGGCAGGACTTGTCAGAGAAACTACTCCTTTATGATTCTGACAGCTATGTACAGCAGGCAAAAGAAAAAAAATACCAAAAATATTGAGAGAAGGCAGCAGGAGGCTGCTGCACTATAATTTGTTGTATCTACCAACAAATACACATTAATACAATCTCATAGCTACTCAAACCCTGTTTATGCTTTTAATCCCTAAATCAGGATGATTAATAGCACCACTCAGCAAAATAATAACATTTCAGCTCTGTAATTCTATTTTAGCAGAACCTTTCCATCCCTGATAACCTTTTCACAAAAAAAGGCCTTTTCCAAACAGTTCAAATGCAGGGTGTTGGGTTTTTTTTAATGATTACTCTTATTATAGTGATTTTGGTACTTCCAGTCCATTTTTTACTGAATGTGAGCAGCATATTAGATTAAGAAAACTAAGCAACAAAAAGAAAAGGAAAGGAAAAAAAAAAAAGCCTTTCTAAAAAGGGGAAATACTATATAAATACAACTTCCAAGCTTCAGAAAATTGAAATGCTAAAACTCTTAAGTAATACTTAAGAGTATTACTAACCACTGCTTGGAGATAAATTCAGTATATTATAATCTAGGTATTACCAGAAGCTTATGGGAGGACAGAGCATTAGATTCCGTTTCAATAAAAATGTTGGAGTACACTTCTAATTTAGAATTTGTGGTGCTGTAAAAACAGCAAAGATCAAGAGAGAACAAAAGGTGAGAAACCTCAAGAAAGCAAATGAGAAAGACTTATCTATCAACAACAGCAGATGACAGGAAACTTTTTAAAAAAAGGCAAATGCTTGTGCAAAGAACTCATGGTAGCCCATCATCAAAACAAAATTAAGGACTTCATGACTCTTGCTGTTACTAGGTAGCAAAACTGAAATTACAGAAACCAAAATGTTAATGTGGAGATTGGAACACAAAACCTCCAGCAACACAGAAGACTGTACACTAACAAACCTGTCTAAAAATAATTGCATTGGAGGTAACATTTCCAGGAAAATTTACTTTCTTTAGTGTCATGGTTTGACGCTGGCACAATGCCAGCACCCCCATGAAACCACAATATTTAGAAAAAACATTGCCAATTCAAAAGCAACAACTGTCTGGTTCCTCAGGGTAAAACATTCAACTTGCTACCTGCAAACCATGGAATACTACCTTGTTTTTCTGTAGTCACAGGAAAAGAATTTCACCTCTAAACAGGTCAAATAACAACAACGACTGTACTAAATATCACACTGCAGCTCAAAATAAGGCAGGTCGTGATCTCTCCACTCTGAGGAGTCTCCAGCTGTAACACAGAAACAGGACTTTTTTCCCTTTCAGCTCAGGGCAGAACACTATTTAAAAGATGTGATTGTTCTCCTTTCCTGGCTTTTGATCATGGAACCAAACAAGTTGCACTAGTTCACTGATCCAAAAGAAAACACTGAATTGTTACTTTCTGTAACAATTAGCACCCATGAGCTAATCTCTTTCAGCACCGGAAAGACTCATGTATTGGAAAAAAAATGGGCAGGAAAGCACCATACAACAGGGGAAGAAGGGAGAAAAGGAGTCAAACCCCACAATTTGAAGCAGTCCACAATGCAGCTAAAACTCTAAATTCATTATAGTAATCTAAGGCATTAGCTGAAATTACAATACTTGATAAACTACAAGCGTCACATTTCCTATGGCAGTCACTTCTACCAAGACCCCTGTATTCTGGCTGTTGCTGGGGGAACTAGATCAGGAATTGATATGCTGAAAAGAGCATCTCCAAATGAAATCAAGTTCAGCCATATCAATTCTTTGCTCGAGTTCACAGTGTGGCTGTAAAAGCAACTGTGCAGGTTACAAGACAGGCAGCAGCAGAAGTGCCCAAGGGTCAAAGGCAGCACAGGAAGATTCTTTCAGCCACAGAACGATGCTATACTGCCATGCCATCATTCACCTCCAAAAATCAAAGGTGTTGAGATAAATGGTGAGCTACCAGCAAATGCTCTCCCATGCATGTACTGTCACAGTGAGAAATATTGATCATCTTCACAGGACAGTGTGCAAAGAAAATTACCCTGTCCAAGCAGGGCCACTGCTCAGGCCCCACTCACTGCACCACCTCCCCAACCAGTGAACCTTGTTTCCTTTATTCTCCACCACCAGAGCCTCACCACTGCCTCTGCCAAAACACAGCACCTGAGCAGAGTGCTCCTGCTGCAGATGCACGAGGGTGGCACTGGCACAACACAGGTTAATGGAGAAAGGATAAAGGATGCTGTGCAGCCCCCACTGAAAGGCACAGCCAAACCCAATGGCATTGAGCATTGCTGCAGTAAGCAAAGGCTGCCTGCCCCATTCCTTCTTCATATCAAAAGCATTCTGTATTGACTTTATACATCCTGCCCTGCCAGAAGAGAGTCTCAAATGCAGGTCTGAACAATGTGTTCACACAAAGGGCTACAGACACAACACCCTGAATACAAAAGAATTCTTGAAGTAGGTGTTTTCTATCTTGTATCATCTCTGAAAAAAAGTTTCAAATATGCAACTTTGCAGTAAACACACACAGAACCTCATGCTACAGCTCTGGAGAGCACTCGGGCACTAAAAAACATACCCTGAGAACTGGAGGGGCCACAGCAACCTGTAAGCACATTTGCATGGAAGTATTTTCTTCCTTACAAAGTAATCACACTGTTGATGCCCCTTACTAAGGGGAGACACTAAGATGTTGTTGCAAGCACTGTTGTTTCATGTGCCTGTAATGGTCTCTGTAATGCTCACTTTCATAAATTAGA